ATTTTGGCTTTATTTTTGTAAAATAAATGATGACATGGTGTAGTGTCATGTATTGTTCATCTGAGGTTGTATTTACCTACTTTTAAGAACTGCTAAAGACCCAGATGATTTTTACTATGTCCTGATATCTCTGATTGAAATATGTAGAACTCAAAGCAAGTACACTTTCTTTTTCACATGACTGTTAACTAGATAAGCAGGACAGATCCCTGATAGCCTTAGGCTAATTTAGTATGTGACTTGATCAAATAATGTCGGAATTAAATACCACCTTTCCCCCTTACTTCCTATAACCCAGGAAAACGTGTTGTGGGAATGTGGCTATGGTGAAATTTATTTCTGATCAATTTTTTTCCTTTGGTTGAGAAAAGAAATATACAGTTCACTGTTTGCCCTATCACCAAATCTATTTTTAATTCTGAATTGTCTTATTTTACATTACAAAAATATAACTTGCTCAAGTGATTAAATTGGACATTTGAAAACTCTTATCAGCAAGCATCAGCTATTTAGGTAGGAAAAGCTATTTATTACTCTTGTGTATGTGTGTGTACTGAGGCTTTTCCTGTTCATGGAAATCGAAACTGTAGCACCTGCATAAAAGGAAGTTACATCTAATGCCCTGAACAACCCAGGATTTTACTTATGCTGAAGCCAAGAGTTGAGAATAAAGTAAAATTGTGACTTTTAAAAAGCCTCAATATTTTAAAGTTGAGTTCTGTCTTGGTTCAAATGGTACATTATTTCAAAACAGATTTTTTTTAAAAAAACCCAAAGATCATACATCTGTCTATACCAGGGGTATCAAACTGCCGGCCCGCAGGCCGGACACATCATCCAGAAGCCGCGCGCACCCCATTGCCGGCAATGGCAAAACCATCCCGATATGTTGCGTGACGTCACATGACATCGCAAGTTTGACATGTCTGGTCTATATTATGTAGTTCTCTACATTTCACCATGGTACTGTACATAGTTTTTCCTACACAATACTTGGATTGAAAGATTGTTCACCTTATTTTAAATATCCTGTTCCAGAAAAGAAGAGGGTTTTTCTTCCTATCTGCATTTCTCATTTTATTTGAACTAAAGAAAGTATCTTGGTACAATACACAGAGAAGATTAAATCGTTAGAATCTTTTCAGTAGACCAGCCTGGAAAAGACCCGTCTAAACAATGAGGACAATGCTTCGGTATAAAAATGCTTCCTATGTGCTGCTTGTAAGATACCAAGAAATTTGCAGTTCACATGAAAGACTAGAATGCTGCTGCTGTTGACCTAGTCAGTTTTTCCACATTCACAGAAACAAAAATCTTACTTTATTTCATGAGAAACTTTACAAACTAGTGCATGCAAATGTACAAACAAATGGCATTAGTGTTAAATCTCATAATGGCATGGTCTTGTTCATTTTCTTTGTGTCAATTCAGTAGTACAAACAAGGCTGACAAAATGTGGGACAACCATTAGGTTATCAAGAAGGATAATTCCACATTGACTTGCAGTTATTAGTGCTACAACCAATGTATTTATTAATAAAATACATCAATACTGCGTCATAAACTATGGCATACATAGAAACAAGGCAGAATGCATATAACAAGGAAATAGGGTTTTTTTAAAAAAAAGCCACTGAAACATTCATGTTGGTTGGACTACATAAAAGAGTGACAGATCGAGTTTGTGGCCTTGTCTTTAATAAATATAGTTTTACCTTAATCACCACATTTTTGCTCTTGCTCAATTTGTAGGTATCCATTTTTAAAAATATTTTATCACTTATTTTTATGTTCCAACTCTGTCCTGTTTAGTGCACTGTAAATTTCCAGAATGCTTCCATTTAAAAAAAAAACAAAAAAACAAGAATCCTTAGACTATTATATAGCCCAATGGGCAGTGTTCAGCTCAGTTTCTACAGGAACTCAGGGTTCATTAAAACAGGCTGTCACTGAGTTTAGCTGAGTTATGATGCATGACATCAAAGCTAAAAAAATTAATATCATGAATTAACAAATGAATAACATGTAATACTTAATGCTGAAAGTATAAAGTGCTGCCTTAGTTCTTGACCATACTACCTCTAATATTTGAGGAATGTAACATTTAGTGTCCCCATATATTGTGTACAATATCATCTCTACCAGCATTTCTAAATGGGAAACATTGGTCAAAATCAGATGGATGATTAATGCTTGGGCCTTCTTCCCATTCCCCTAAGTACATAATACTCTCCAAGTAAGTTCTTCCAGTGTAAATAATTAAAATTGATTTAAGTCCCAAAATAGTAAAATGCAACCAAATAAAATTCATTCCGTACAACTGAAACCAGACATTATTTAACACTCCCTAAACATTTCTTTTCATAGCTGGCAGATCAATAAAAGGAAAAAAAATCTTTACGTTTACAAATGAATAGCTCAACCCTAAGAATTTCATAGCCTCCATATAACAGGATTTGCACAAATCCTCCAAACAACAAATTGAGGTGGTGTGTCAACACTCCTTTTTCTGAAATGTGTTCATCTTGGGTCTCTGGGTTTATTAAAAGCGCTTTTTTCCTTCAATTCTAGACTGAACATTTTCTTAAATCCTAGACAGCAATCAAATTAGAAAGAAAAATGGGTTTCTAGTTTTTCATTTATACTTTTAAGTGGACACCTAGGATAGTTCCCCTCAAAGCACAGTTCTGGATGCAAATCTTCTAATTTTTGCAAGCAGAAAACAGTTTCCCTATTATGACATTTCTACAAGCCTGGAAAGTATGTAGTTTTGAGAGACTGACAAAGTTTCAACATTCTTACAAAAGGTACAGTCTAGAATAGGCTAGAAAAAGCTATTAAAATAGTTTAATCAGCTGAAGTGCAGGTAAAGGAAAAAAATACATGATGTCTAGTTAGGATTTATGCATTTGTTTTCTAAAACATATGTACATATGTTTTTAGAAATATATATGTTGCTTTACCAATGAATGACTTTATTTTATTGAACAGTAAGTTATTTTCTCTCTTCCGCTTCCCCAATATAAAGTTGGTAGGAAAACAGAGAATTTCTAAGACAATATTAATTCCTTATTAGCTGGGCTGTGCAAGAATCAAACACAATTCTGAAGAAATGGACTCATGTGAGCACCATGTTTCTATGAAGCAGCAAAAGGTTTTCCAGGTTGCTACACAAGTTGCTTCTGCCTTAGGAAGCAAAAAAGGTGGTTTGAAGCACTTTTTTTTTAAGCACATACAACCCTACCTGGTGAGAGAAAATAAATTCGGAAGTCATACAGACTGCAAATAAATTCCTGCATTTTAAAATGCCCAATTTCCCCCTTTGAATTTTACATCAGAAATAAAGCAGGTGCTGAGAAATACAATTGTGCTCCTAAATTTGGGCTGGGATACAAATACAGACTTTCAGTATTTGAAAAACAGTTTCGGGTAATTACAACATTTTAAATAGTGTTGACTTTTACAGATTTGAATAGTGGAAATTCCTACACCAAAGTGCCTAAGTTTAATTCAGCACCCAAGTGCCTTTTGCAATGTATTTCTCATTTTATCTTGACCTTCCCTCCCTTTGGGAGTTGCAAAAATATGCGGATATACTTCAGCACCTCAATTTCTTCTTCTGTTTTGCAAGGGTGCTCTTAAGTTCTTTCAAATTCTCAGTCAATACTTCTATCTCATCCATTCGTCCACTTTGTTTGGCATCAAAAATATATGCTTTGATATTATCAATCTGTTGGAGAAGTAATTCCTCTTCTATGACATCTTCTCTTGAAACTTCATGATCACTTTCAACTTCAAAAGGATTCAAAGAGGAAGACAATGATTCTTCAAATGGATTCCCAGATTCCTGATTACCTACAGGTGTATAAAATGGATTTCCAACAGAATCTTCAAATGGGTTTGGAGCACTGAGCTCTACGCCGTTTGCCTGTTGACAATCCTGCTGCTCTTCCTCCTCCTCAAATGGATTATACTCTCTTATATAACTCTGCAGAGTATTGGTAGGCAAGGGAACTACTGCAGAATTTTCAGCAACAGGACTTTCAGGGTCACTCTTTGGAGGGCTAATTATTAAAGGTTCTTCAAACGGATTTATGGAGGGTTTTTCACGCTCTGAGGCTTTTACAGGTTGGCAAACCAAAACCAGATTCTTGCTATCTGGCAATCCAATACCATCACTTGGGAAAGCAGCCTTAGAGCCAGCGTAATCTTTGTCCTGAAGCTTATCTAGATCCAAGGCCTGTGCTATTTGGTTTATACTTCCCCTCTCAATCTCAAGTTTATCATGCTTCACTTCTCTGAAATCCAGAGAACGGGTCCGTGAATGTTGAGACATCTTTTTTTTATGGTCCCTTTTCCATTCTTTTTCACAAAGGATCTGCAATTGTTCTCTCTGCATTTCCTCCATCTCTGCTTGCTTTTTGGAAAGCTCAATGGCTTTGACTGTTTGCTGTTGGTCGTACTCGTCCTGAAGCTGTCGCAGGTTCTCCTGCAGCATTTGGACTTCGTCCAGACGATTGGCTTCCTTTGCCTGCTTAATATAGGATGTGATATTATCGATCTGTTGAAGAAGTGGGTCTGTGAGTTCCTGGTTCCGAGATATGCTAGCAGTAGGTAGCCATCCTTCAGCTTTCTTCACTGCGACCCTTTTTGTTCGATGGACCTCACCATTGGACACTGCTAAGGATCTGGAAGCGTAGTCTGCTGGCTTCTCTTCTTGTCGTCTCTGGGGTTCATATTTCACCTAGCCAAAAAGAAAGGAAAACTTTAAAAGGAGTCCACATTTAGATGAGGACTCCACACTTCAGCCACCTCATTAGTTTTTAGCATGGGTTTGTGAGCCTAGAAAGGCAACTATATTGGCGGAAATAGGTCTTTTTTCCTGAGGTTTTTTTTCCCTCCAGCTCAAAAAATATATATATTTAAACTGATGGATTATGTAGGGTTATTGTTACTTTTCACTGTTCACCTGTTCATCAACTGTTCATGTCCGCCATCATCTTAATTGTATTTAACAGAAATAATATCCTGTTAAATATGTTTAGAATAATGTTTCAGAGTGGGAGCTAAGCAGAATAAGCTAAGCAAGTAGAAGTTACTCTTCTGCACATGGGGTAAAAAGCCATGCTCCAGCAAGTTTTATTCTTTTATTCTCTCCTGTAATGACTGCAACTCTCTCTAGCCTCCTGCCACTTTGACTGATCTCAAAGAACTGGGTTCTGCCATAGAACGATCAGCGGTCCATTAACTCAGAGATCCGATTAGAAGTCACTTTCCAATCTTGTTTTAATATGTATTGCATTTTTAAATTTAATGTATCACATGTGATTGTTATTTCAATAAGATAAATATATTTATGCTTCTAAACCAGTGGTTCCCAACCTTTTCTATACCCTCACCCCTAGAACATTTCTGATATATTCTCGCACCCTTCCAAAATAACGGCAACGAATTATGCATATACACTATAATTTTGAAAACCCAAGTTTTCGCACCCCCTGGAATATCGTCTTGTACCCCCAGGGGGTGCGAGCACCCCTGGTTGGGAACCCCTGTTCTAAACTAACAGTAAAATAAAGCAAAGTAAAGTTAATGAAAAGGGTACAACAAAACAAACATTTGGGAGAAGAGCAGATTTTCTCCTGGCTAAAATATTTTGGAAAACTTATGGAAATTTCTAAAAGACACGTCTTTTTTTTTTTTTTCAAAAAAGCACAAGAAAGAAGTGATCTCAAAAAAAAACCTGGGTTCATACAAGAAACAGATTTTTTTTATTAAGCTGATTTTAAATATATTCTAGACTTATGTCACACTAATTGCAATTGTTTTAGCAAACAAATTCAAAAGTAAAGTATTTCAGAAAGGAAATTCTTTAACCAATGAACAAACAAACAGAAAATCATTGTCAGAAATATTTACGGATTAAAATACTTGCCAGTCTCTCCATTTGCAGTTTTCTCTCTAAGTCTTGTTTCTTTTTCTCTTTCAGTTCTTCATACTGGTCTTTGGTCGGTAAAGACATTAGGCCAAGCAATTTTTCCTGAGGATTTTTTTTTCAAAATATAACTTTAAAGGGTACAGGATACTAAGATTTAGATCTTATTGAAAACTAGAAAATGTGAGTGTGTGTGCATATATGCACACGTATAATTATATTTTAAGTGATTAAATATAAACAATGCCCAGCCATCAAATTACATGTCAAAGAATAAAGTTAAAATGTGATCAATTATATCTGATATCAAATAACAGTGTTCAAAGTAAGAGATCAATACATGAAATAAGTCTCTTCCAAATGAAATTTTTTTCCTGATTACTTCAGGAATATATCTCTAATTTTCTTGGAAACATTATGGAAATGTCTTACAATTGCCTGCTTCTGGAATGTTTTGTCAATTTCCTTTTTCAATTAGCATTTTTCCAAAACTTAAGTGCAAGAATAGAAAAAAAAGAATCAATCATATAATAAAAGAATCAAATAGTTTTACACATATTTAAACAGAATGATCAAATATACTTCCTAAAACACCAGAATGAATTAATGAGATTGCAATCTAATCTGAACCAGATGGACTATGGATGGATGGATGGATGGATGGATGGATGGATGGAAGGAAGGAAGGAAGGAAGGAAGGAAGGAAGGAAGGAAGGAAGGAAGGAAGGAAGGAAGGAAGGAAAGAAAAAGAAATAAGGAAATTTAGGGATGAAAAATACAGGGTGTACAATACAAGAAGGGAGATATATGGCCTGGACTTGGTGTGGTCACTGATAACAAGATAATGTAGCAGAAGGATATACAGGTAGTCTTCAACTTACAACCATTTGTTTAGCGACCAAAGTTACAACAGCACTCAAAAAAGTGACTTATGACTGGTTTTCACACTTATAACCATTGCAGCATCCCTATGGTCACATGATCTAAATTTGGCCGCTTGGTAAATGGCCTGTATTTATGACAGTTGCTTTGTCCCGGGGTCATGTGATCCCATTTGGAACTTTCCCAGCTGCCTTCTGATAAGCAAAGTCAATGGGAAAAGCTAGATTCGCTTAACAACCACATAATTCACTTAACAACTGATTCATATAACAACTGTGACAAAAAGGTCGTAAAATGGCGCAAAACTCACTTAACAGCTGAAATTTTGGGATCAATTGTGGTTGTAAGCCAAGGACTACCTGTATTGTATCAAAGACATGGGATGTCTTCCAGAAACTACTCATGAAGCCTGCAGGATACTCCATCTCTGGAGGTTTTTAAGACTGCATAGACACATTTTGAGAAGAGTTTAATTGGCATTCCTGCATATTGCAGAAGATCGGACTTGTAGTCCTTTCCAACATCACAATTATCTAATTTTATGAAGAGTCAGCACCTCAGAATTATTAAAATGCAATTTCAAACAAAGGGGGAAGAAGATAAAAGGAAAGTCAAAACCTGAGAATAAACATTGTTTTCTTAGGCTTAGCTTATTTGACTAATATCAAGGAATTTCCCCATGATATCATGTAATAGCTTGCTAAATTGAAATCCAATTACAGTGCTGAGAAACCATTCCCATCACTATGGCAGTGCAAAAACATTCATTAGCCTTCTAAATACCAACAGAGCCACTGACATAGCTTACATCTAATTAGGTAGGAAGTATTTAAAAACTGAAACACTAATTCATTTTATTATGCAAATTGTTAAAACAAAATGACAAGTTTTATAATATCCTGAAAAATATTTAAAGGGTCAGTATGTAATCTGGTATTGTCTTAGGGCAGGGGTAGGCAACCTCGGCTCTTTTATGACTCATGGACTTCAACTCCCAGAATTCCCGAGTCAGCTATGCTGACTCGGGAATTCTGGGAGTTGAAGTCCATGAGTCATAAAAGAGCCGAGGTTGCCTACCCCTGTCTTAGGGGAACTAATATGTCTAAAAGCAGCTCATCCTTTCTAGATAACCTACCTGAACAAAAAGTGTGGCTGAATATCTAATCATCCTCTGTAGCTGTAAAGTTCTGGGATGAGGTTGTGGATCTTCATTCAGCCCTAAAGTCAGAATCTTCTTGCTGAAACAAACAAACAAAAAAAAGAGTGAATTAGAAATACATAACAATCAGCTAAGAGAAATAAACACTAGCAGACAGAATTTTAAGTATTGCTAAAGTATTGATAAACCATGTAATTGGCAACATGGGATTTATTTTTTTTAATAATGTTATTTATTTAAAGCATAAAATATGAAAATACATATTGAATTCCGACTCCCTCTGTTGCAGTAAAATAAGACATTAGGATCGAATCTCAACTTTTTACATATCTATAGTAATATAAACTAGCCATTTCTGTATCAACAAATCAGTCTAATCAGTAAAACCCAAAACCATAGGATCATTTCTTTCCACTTCAAGCACAAAGTCCAGAAGAAATTTCCAAGTAGAAACAAAAGTACGTATGTTCTTTTCTTTTGTCAAAACAGTCAATTTAGGCATGTCTGCTAATTCCATGAGCTTTTGTAATCATTCGTCCATGGTAGGAATCGAAGCTTCCTTCCATTTATTTTGACAGTAAAATATATCTCATTATGTTTATGTCTCCTTTAAAAAAATGTTCATCTTCATTGAAAATTTAAAAAAAATATAAAGCCAAGCAAAAAATAATCCAATAACAATTTTCATCTTCATGTTTTGTACTTACCTTAAAGCATCTATTAATTCATACATTCTCTGTACTTCTATTCTAAGATTGCTAGCACGATCAAGATTGTATGTTGTCTCTCCGGAACTGGAAGAAAACATGCACATTTAAATTTTCCCAAATTGTTATCCATATAGATTCAGCAGTTATTTTGCAGTAGAGAACTATATAGACACATCTAAAACACTATTCTTGTTCATTTGTGAACTGGGAATGTTATGAAAGGAAAAAATCTTGAATATCAAATATCGATCTTGGTGCATTTTTGTTATCAATTTTTCTCGAAATTATTTAGTTCAGAAAAAATGAGTTCTACACGGTTAAACATCATTTTAGAGTGGGAAGCAGCTTGATTAAAAATTAGCATCACTAAGCTCAACATGATTTTAAAGAATAAAAATGCATTTATAAGGACACAAATCCAAACATATACAATATCAGCCTTGGTAGCCAAGTATTTATACCAGCTGACCATTGTGGTTCTCACTTTGTTTTTGTCCTAGAGCTTTTGGTATTTTTCCCTTTAAACGTTTGAAATTTTATTTCTCATCATATCCATATGAACGCCTATAAACACTTTATTAATATTTTATAATCTTGTTTTCTACTGCAAAGCTAGTTAGATTTGAAAAACTGAATTTGGAATAACCAAGTCTCTATTTTAAATGTCTGTTAAAGAAATTTAATTCCAAAAAGGGAAGAAGAATGATTAGGCTTTCAAGTTCTTTATTATTTCAAAAGCTAAAGCATTTATATATATGAAAATGATCCTACGCAAACTTATCTGAGAGCAAGTTCCAACTCAAAATCTATTACTTAATGTATGGATTCAACTTACAAATTAAAATCTTCATTTAAAATCACCAGCAAACTTACAAAGTCTGTCCAAATTCCATAACCTATGGCTCACAAGGGCAGCCATATAAGCCTTTTGAATAAAATTCAGAAAATATAATTGTGTAAATATCACCCAGTACTGCTAACAATGAAAAAAATATATAAGGAAATTTTTGGACAGAGTGTGAAAATTGGTTCTAAGTCTCAGTTAATAATAATACAAATATAACAGACCACTGTCCCAAAGAAAACAGTAAATAATAACTTTGTATTATATTGTGCTTTTTACAAAATTGAAGTTTCCAATATTAGATATATTCCAATAACTAATTAGATATTAGTTATTTTCTGATTTCTTTTAATAACACAATCATCTAATCACTTTTAAATAATACAACAGTTAATTATAAAAAACCTAAAGAGGCTTACTTTAATGATTCTGCCATCTTTATGTATTCTGGGGCCTTCTGGTCAACTTTTTCCATGTAAAATCGGAGTTTCTTGTTTAATAAGAAACCAACAGATTAAAATTAAGTTACTCACAAGAATAATTCAAATATAAATGTGTTATATGCATCCTATTTTTCCTTTCCTTTATGTGAGTTTGTTAAGTTGACCTAATTCTATAGACGATCAAAATGTATTAATTAAGATGATCAGAGTCTATCAGACAAAGTAAAATATTTTACTTTCTTGGTAAACTGCTTTTCTATAGTGCAGTGATGGCGAACCTTTTAGAGACCGAGTGCCCAAACTGCAACCCAAAACCCACTTATGCATCGTCAGGTGCTGGGTGGGTATGGCCCATTGGATGGGTGTGGCCCATTGGGTGGGCGTGGCTGCGATGGTAACAGCAGACTGGGTGGGACTAAAAAGTTCAATCAATCAATTCCAACTTTGCAAGATCTTTTTTTTTCCGTGAGAAGTTGAAATTGACTGATTGACTGAACCTTTCTTTTTTTTATACACGGCAGAGGCCTAAAGCAAAAAGGTTTTATAAAACCCAGCTGAAGGCCTAGGACTGGGGCAACGGCGCGCATGCCCACAGAGAGGGCTCTGAGTGCCGCCTCTGGCACCCGTGCCATAGGTTCGCCACCACTGCTATAGTGGATCATAAACTAATGCTGAATAGGTTGCTCTTATAGGCTCAACAGCGATATAGTTGAAAATTTCTAAGTTCGAATTTCTTGTCTCAAAGGTCATTATGAAATGGGGCAAAACTTTACCTGGAAAAAATATATCATTTTTGAACTGAACATTTTCTGTCCCACAATATTGTCAATGCTAATACCACAAGCAAACTGAACTTTTTCATACACAAATTATGTAAAAATATTTAGAAAAATGATCCAAAAATTTTCCACTTCAAAAATCTCTGGAAAACCAACATTACAGTTGAACCAACAATGAAAGAGATTGACACAATTTAATTCAACTTGAAGTGCTCTTTAAACACTGTTTAAAAACAAACAAAAAAGAGAAATTCTAATGGTTAATAAAGAGAGGATGAAATGTGTGAAAGAACAAACACACACACACAGCTCAGCCATTGTTATTTTAATATATCTATAAATTCTAGTCATTCCCATTTAGACTTGTAGAAAATCTGTGAATTTGAAATGTACTTTTGCACAGCTTTACTGTCAGACGTAAAACTTACTAAGTGAGAAAAATACTCAATGTTTGCATTCCATCTCAGCTGTTAAAATCCTACCCATTTTAACAGGCTGTGCTGGTGCTGGACTATTAAAATAACTTCTAAAATGTGGAGCATATTTACTCAACAAAAGAAAAAAAAGCTTTTTACAAGAAAATACTGACACTTAACTGGATTATGAAACTAGCACAGACCGCTAGACTACAAGAGCCTATAAGAGTACCAGTTTGTTTAAATCCCTCATTGTAGAGTCTGCAATTTCCTTCAAAAAAGATTCAAGAAATGGATAAAAAAACCTAAGTGGAGGAAACGAGACCTCCGTTACAAAGATTGGTGGTAGGAAAAGGAATGAATCCATTTCACATAATATTGTATGCTTGTATTAGCTGTAGGTTTTGCAAGCAATGTGAATCTATTCTTTTTGTCAGAAATGCACAGTATTCAACTGATATTTTACTAGTTTACTAAAAATGGTATAGAAAATCAGCTGGCCATGTCTGCATTGCTCCCAGATCTGTAATATGCTTTTTGAACTTTAATGTCCAAGACTACTGCAGTATTCTAACAATAGCGGCATATTGCTAAATAGGTTATACAGGAACCAAACTAAAGCTCTATACCTATCCTACAATGCTTATAAAAAATTTTCAAATAAATTGCCACTCAAACAAATCCAAGCTGGGGAAACAACACTTTTCTGAAAAGCTTCTAAATTCGTGAGAACAGTTGGATCAATCTGTTTGAAATCTGGCAGGAAAAATATCCCCTGAATTGGAACAGTAGCTGCAAATTTCATCCATTTTTGTCAAATGCAAAAGATTATAATTTGTTGATTTCTTATAGTAGTTAAGAGTAACACAATTTCAGTAATAATTGAAATTGTCATAACTTCAGATTTTCCGAAGTGAGATTCTGATAGAATGAATTGGGAAGTTTCCAAGGTTATTTCAGCCAAACTGTTATTTTCTAATCACCAAAGCTAAACCAAATTTTATCATCAATGAACAAATTTATTGTTTTCTTTTTAATATAAACAGGTCCTAGTCTCTTAAAGTTACTCTCGTAAAAAATTATTATATACACTATTGATAATAAGTCTAATAATATAAGTCTTCATCTCAGTCATTTTACCTCATACAGTTTCACAATATCTGGTATATATTCTCTTTCATCAATCTGTTGTTCCCTTTTGAGCAGCGTATCTTTACAGTGTCTACAGCAACGGATTCGATCGTCATCTTTTTCATCCAAAACAGAACTGACACTGCTTATACTACTGATGCTACCTCGTCGAGAGCCCTGGATGCTATTGGGTGAGCAGCTGGGGCTAGTATGAGAGGCCAAGACTTCCTTGCTAGCAGTAGTAAGTTTGCCTGAAAGGAGAGATTAACAAAATATAACTGACAAGATGTAATTGTCCCGATGACAACATTTATCTTGAACACAGGTTCAAATAATTCTGCTCAACTCAATTTACACATAAAAACAAGAACTGCAATGAAACTGTACTCTAAAAATTGGCTGCTCTAAATGTTTTTCCCTGTACAAATGTAAAATATTACATTCAAAGTAAATGTGAATATTTATACGTTACATCTCATGAAATCTAGCTACTAAAGAGACAACTGACATTATTCACATTGTAGTAATGGGATATTTCAATTTTGAGGTGAAGAAACTTTTTAGTTATTATATGAGACTTCTAAAAACTGTAGAAAAGAGAGAAGTGATTTTTTCATCTTTTTCTAAATACATTTTGGAAATTCGTTTTTAAAATGTACAACAGCTTTGAATAGCTATTGACAACATAGAAAAAATCCTGGACCTAAAACTAGCATTTTCATATCAAAAATTTAATGACACAATCATGAGAGACTCTGGGAGAATTAGATGCAATTTATGAGTTGCCAACTGCTCTTTTGGGGGTGAAAAAACTCTCAATCCTCTCCCCACTCAAAAATAAATCCTCTGAAAATCCAGTGTACACATGCACATACACGAGGGCAACATTTGGCTGTTGTCTATGCTGCTACAAAAACAAAAAGACTTATAAATATGCCCGCCAATCCTTCTAAAATTTCCTCTACTGCTATAAGTCGGTATCTCATCAGAGCAGAAGACAATTAATCATTTTTGTGAGAACCATAAAAGGACAGCAATATTTTTTCTTAATTCATACCATAATAATGTTTCAGTGATACTAAGCCAAAATATGATAAACACCTAAAATGGAATTAAGACACTCCTCCTAACTCTGCCACTGTACTCACTTGCAAAGGGGAGACTGACCAGTTCCATGCACTTCTTGCACATGATAGACCCACAGAGGCGGCAGTGATGGCGCCTGTTCCGTATGCTGAATTTGTTACCACAGTCTGGACAAAATGGTACATCTTGATCACTAACCCAAGGCACAACAGATTTCTCTATTGCTGCAACAAAACATGATAACCTGTTAGACATCATTAATGAAATCCTAGTTGAAAACATTAGCAAAGATAATTCTTTTCTGCGCTTACCTCTTATCTTTGCAGAATCTGTAACTGTTCTGTCAAAGGAAGTAAGCTGACCAAAAGAAAATGACCAAAAATTAGATATACATACAAATTTTACTGTATAGTTTGTCACATTATTTCAAATAAATCAAGTAAATATGTTTTTAACCACCTTTTCCCGAATGTCTTTTCTTAAAAATCAAATGTCTTCCCTGAGTATCTCTTTTATATCACCTGCAAAAATAGAGTCCAAATATTGGGGGGGGAAATAAAAAAAAATATTTAAAAATTTAGAGAAATCTGTTTGTTTTAAAGATCAAAATTTGAATAGGGAAAAATAGTGAAAACAAATTATAAAATGAAAATTGAGAAGATTTTTTATTTTTTCTCATTAAAAAGTAAATACTGCTAAAGAAAAAATATTATGTTCCTTAATTCTAATTTCTATTCAGTTCCTTACTATATACTAGACTAGACTAGAAAGGGAATTCTACATTTCTCACATCCAGTCAATAGCAATATTGCTATTAATAGGACACTTCAGAAATGTTAATGTAGGGCTAGACAAAAAAAAATTCTGCCAATTAATTTTCTGACTATGCTTTTTAGACTGCTATATGTTGGGTGAGACTTAAGTAAACAGACAAGGATCAAAAGTATATTGTGCCTAAGAGGATCCCTGGTTAAAGTAAATTATAGACCACAGTTTTCTTTCCAGAATCTCTATATTTAACATCCCTTCAGCCACTGTTACTTCTTTTTGTTAATAGCACCTCACCAAGGAATGCACTTGTGAATTATACTTTAACAAATAACATAATAAACATCGTAAGAAATGTTACAGTAGCTAATGACTGGAAAAAAAGATATATGTGATTAAAACATTTTAAAATAAAATTTTAATTAAAAAGTAAATAAAATTAAAATGTTAAAACTACAAATTATTTACCTTTTCTAACCTGATTATTAATTTATTCACTTCCACAACATAGTGATCAATTCTGGCTGCTCTGTGTTTCTTAAAATCAGAAAGATGACTCCTTATAGCACCTAATATAAAATATCCGGTTAGGAAACTTGACAGAATAATTCAACCATAAATATTCAGCTAACAGCAGTTTATCATGTTCTTATTTCTATAAATTTGCTGTTCAGTTTAAAATTCAGGATTAAAGAATGGTAGCTCATGGATCATTTGCAATGCCATAAAACCGAATAGTGTATACAGTAACCAACCAATCATAATAATCAAATCAATCCAGACTGTGGCTTAGAATATTAAGCATAAACACATTATTTCTTTACTGGTCCAACTAATTAAACAGCCATAATCCTTCAGGAAAATAATACAGAGAAGTAGATACTGAGGGGAGCAAAGAAACCTGGGAAAGGATTGGTCTTGCCCCACTGTGTAGGCAGGGTAATTATAATTGTGGGTAAAAACCCACAGCCAAATGTGGTTTGCCGTATCATTTGGTATGCATAGTTAATATTCAACATAGTTTAATGTGCTATATAAACCTACCCTATATTTTAGTCTTTATTGATAAAATGCTATTCTTATTTATAAGATAATGGCATTTCAGAAGACATATTTCTACTATAGAATTTTCTTCTGGTGTTAATTACTGCTAGTGCTGAGTCCATTTTGCTTTTAGATCATATATTTATATAAACTCATTATCTATTACCAACTATCTTCATACTACAATATGATACATATCTTCCCAGAATTCACTGGTGCTCTCTCACAGATTCAGTTAGTACAGTACATCTATATAGATTTATACACAATATAAAAATAAATGTACAAAGTTAAAAACATCTGGCTAACTGTAACTATGAAAACTTCCACAGCTTTATTATTTCTAGATTACATAGTTCAGTATCTAGGGAGAGTAACATGCTATCTATCCTTGTTACAAATGAATGTTTCTTGATTGGTTACCTAATTCTTCCAGTTCCCACATATATGGATCCATTCCACCATAACTGTAGCTTTCATATCGTTCCTGAGACCCACCATCACTTCGTTCATCATCTCGTCTCAACAGTTTATTTTTTGCTTTTTTTGCTTTTTGAACAAGATCTAAGCAAGATAAAATGGTGGATGACACAAATTATATTTATACATTTAAACAGGGCTTTTTTTCTCATAGAACGCCCAGAACGGAGTTCCGGCACCTTTTTTGGATGGAACCTTGTAGGGTAGGCAAGGCGGGTTGTATGACATGTGTGAGTTCCAACACCTTTTTTTTTTTTCAAAAAAAGCACTGCATTTAAACATAATTGTTAAGAATTGCTTCCTTACAGTTGCCACTGTGATAGTGTGGCAAGCCCATGGTTAGCATGGAGTATGCCCCTGTACCCGATTTGCAATTTTCAGAACTTCTCAGAATGGACTGGCCATGATTTTTAAACTCAATTTGTCCTTTTGGTTGGATGAGAAACTTTAAGAGCAAAATAACATGTGTTAAAAACAGCACCCCCCTCAAAAAAACAACCCAGGGCTGCATTTCCTAGATGGACAAGCTAAAGTGGCAAAATGGAAGCCTTAAGTCTTTGTTTAAATTTGGTTTTCATTGGCAGATAGCATAGCATTTTTTTCTATTCTCCCATAGGAATGGGATATATATTATTCTAAAATTTGTAAAAAAAATAATCTGAAGATGAAAAGAATTACAAAAATTCCCATAAAACACAACCCTGAAAAGAAATCTACTTCGTCCAACCTGTTGGGAATACAAATGTATCAATTAGCCAAGCAGTCCAATTATTGACAGCCCACAGGAATATTTTGTACCCTGTATAAACTTAATTCAGGAAGCAATTTGCGCAATAGAACACTGGACAAAGCAGAAGGCAAGAGCACTTTAAAGATAAAACAGTGACGCATTTAACAGCCTTCAGAGGACTGGGAAACAACTTGTAACAAGTGAAGGAAATTAACAGTTCAATACAACCACATGCGCTTTGTATTTTATTGTGAATGGGTTTCTAAGTGTATAGTTATTTAAAAGAATGGGAAATGCCCAATAATTAGCATATAAACATATTACAATTATTTTTACCTTTATGCTACCACTATTCTTAAGCTCTTGTTACTAAGTTGTGCAGCCAGTGATTGAAATTGTGTGATGACTAAGGGCTGTTTACATGCCACATTTGATCCCATCAGAGTATTCCCAAGAATGACTCTGAATGTCTGAAAATATAATGAAACTCAATGCGTCAAAATCACCATGACAATCAGCAAGACCTTCAGCTAGAGGTAGCTTGACTTAGTCTGGGTCCTCAGAGACAGAAGTACACATGAAGTTAGCAACATTAGTATGTATTGTGAAACAATGTTATCATGTGGCTAAAATGTAATGTAGTAAACAGCACTAAACTGATATTAACAATTATTAATGAATTTGTACTGGTTTCCCAAAATCATGGTATCAGATAGCTAGATACAGTGTTTTTCCTGTATTCTTCAGGCATCCTGGTTAAAGTATTTCTTTTGTTCTGATTGAAGACCACCAGGAATGTCCAAGTTATTTAGGTGGTAACTCAGGGGCCACCTATGCACATTCTTCATTAAACTAAAGAGAATTGCCTCATGTACTTAAGATATATCCAAGCACCCATCCAATCACAAATCATCACTTCAGCCAGAGAACTTACAGACAATTACAAGTAACCCTCACTCTCACAATCAGCTAAAGCAGACATGTCAAACTCACGACGTCACATGACGTCGCGCAACGTATCGGGCCGGTTTTGCCATTGCCGTCAATGGGATGGGCGCAACTTCCGGATGACGCATCCGGCCCGCGGTCCAGCAGTTTGACACCCCTGAGATAAAGTAACAGACTTCCAAAGATTTCAAGTCAATCTTTATTACTTTCAGGTTTTTAATACATTGCATTATTTCCCTGCTCTGTTGTGATGAGTGATCTTTTCTTCAAATGCTCCACTCTTTTACTAAAAGTGTCTTATGTGTTTGTGGCCAACAGTTCAAATTTTGTTTCCTTGGTCCAAAGCACTCTAAAGGCTTTATTTTGCCAACTTTAAATAATGACTTTTGTGATTAGAGAAAATATTTCTTTTTGCCAATCTTCCTCTTCAGATCATTGTTGAATAAGTAATGTTATACAG